CCCCAAAACCCCAAAACCCCAAAACCCCGACAGTAAAAATCATTAAGTATGAGAAAATAGAGAGTAAATGATACTGATTTAAGAATAAAATTATAAATTAGGCAATAATTTATTTATCTATGGAGGGTAATCAGCAATATGGTTTCAAGTCAAAAGCTTAAGAGGCATTAAACTAGCAGATTTAAGATGGAGGCTAAAACTATTGATAGTCATTTGGTGAGTTCTAGTTGCTATAGAAGAAGTTCATGATGGGTGCTCCAAAGAATACATGTAAATTTAAGAAGAATTCTGATTTAATATTAGTAAAGTTAAGAGATGAAACCGAGAATGAAGAGAGCAACTTTTAGAATTTGTAAAATATAGATAATAAAGACAAATCTATTCCTTAATTAATGCCTCTGTATGCTGGCTAGCTCAATCTAAAAGATGACATTAAATTAGGGTAAATTTAGAACACATTAATATCTTAGATGGAGACCTGCTCATCCAATTAGTAATGAAGTACCTGCAAGTTTTACGATTGAGGAGTTCGAATTAACGATGAAATAAAGGCAATATGGACATTTAATTTACAAATTTCCAGTTTTCAAAAATTCTCAAAGTTTGATTAATTCTATGATGGGGACAAAACCCTTTAATTCTCATTTCAAGTATCATATCAAACCTCCTATCAATAATATATACTATGACTCTCATCCACTGGAATTTACAAGTGAATTTGAGAGCGGAAACTTAGATAAAGTAATTAGAGTAAGTGACAGAGAATACGATATATTCATTAGAGCCGACTCAAATACCAAAGGATGTTTTTAGTGGTTTAATTTCTGCGTAAAAAATGTTTCAAAAGTATCTGGTGTGCAATTTAACATAATGAATTTCAATAAAAAAAGCTCCCTCTTTGGACAGGTATATAATTAGCACTTTTCACTACACTGTAGGCAATGAGAATTAGAGCCACTTCTTAGAGAGATTACTTGATGTAAATTACGTCTGAAGAGTTTACCAAGAATAAATAGATTTGGCATGAGGTGGGATATGACTACAAATAAGGAAAAACTAACTTATTCAAATATAACTATTACGACTACTTTCAGTATAGGTAAGTTTTACTAAATTTATCATAATATTTTTGTCAGTAAAGTATTTCATCAACTATCTTTCAAATATGACTTTGATTAGCAGCTCAACATTACTTAGTTTGCTCTTGCCTAGCCCTACACCTACTCGGATTTGTAGGATTACCTAAGATTTATCAAAAACTAACAACTAGATTACTTAAAGATTGAGAAACTTGCTACCTAGATATCAGGAATCAAGATCCCAATATTAACAATTACTGATAGAAAAGAGGAATTGAGAGATAAAAAGCTTATTGTTATCACTGCCAGAACAAATCCAGGAGATCCTTAAAGTTCATTTGTGATGGAAGGGATAATAAATTTCTTAACATAGCAGAAGGGTTATGAGCAATTTGAAGATTAAGCCGTCTATCTAAGGAAAAAATTCATTTTCAGAATTATTCCTATGGTAAATGCTGAAGGTGTGATTATTGGGAATAATAAGACATCACTTTCTGGGAATGAGTTAGATTTGCTATTTGATGAGCCTGATAAGTTTGCTCACCCTGAAATTTATAATTTGAGAGAGTTGCTCGCTAAGGTGATCGATTATTAAGATCTTGAGCCGTTTTTGTATCTGAGCATGACTTCACATTTCAATAAAAAGAATTTCTTCTTCCATTCGAATTACTTTCAACTTCATGAGAAAAACTATCAAAGAGTGAGAACTTTTCCTCAAATTGTCCATAATCTATCAAATATAGAGAGTGATTCTTAATTCAGATATCATTCTTGCAAATTCAAGGAATCTTGAAAGAAGAAAGGCAAGCAGAGAGTGGTTATGTGGAAGGAATTCGGATTCCTCTACAGCTATCAATTGATGACAAGCTGTTTCGGCTATAGAGGCTCTAATAAGCAAAATCTTGCTTTTGGCATACTAGATTTTTTAAAAATGGGAGAGATTATTGCTAGAGCAATTTAGGAATTATCAGTATTTGATGAAAATTAAGAATATAAGAAGAACTTTTTATTTGATTAAATGCAAGCCAAGCTACTTGTTAGAGAGGCCAAAAAGGTTAAAGTTTCAAGAGAAATTATCACAGAGATTAAAAGATTCGACAAATTTAAAGAAATCGCTGAGCATAAAGATACTTAGTAGCACTCAGCGAGAGGACCTGAGAGGTAAACATCACTGATTGACTTTAATAAAATTCAAGCAATCAAACTGATGAGAGCTCCAAAGAGCTTTTCAATGAGCTTCAAAGAATTAAAGCCAAGGAACTAAATCTTAAAAATCAATCAATCTTCAATAAGAACTCCTAAGGATTCTAGGGAAAATTCTCCAGAAACAAATAAAAACTCATTTATTGACGACAAACCTAGAAAGCGATTCTTGCTTTTAAATCATGTTACGATGTTGAGTATGGATTAGATTTCCTAAGAATTTGAAGAGTTTGACTAAAATCTTAAAGAAGATAACGAGTAAGAGTAGGAAAAGAATCAATTTGATGAGCTAGACGGAATACACTTGCTTAAGCTTCGAAGAGTCATTATCAATAAAACGATACCGAACTCTCCTGAAAAAAATTTAGTGCTCAAATTTATAGATAATTAAATCAAGAAAATGAGACAGTCAATTTCTCATAGCTTGATTTCAGAATCTCCTGATAAGAGAAAAAGTTCCTCAAATACAAAAAGATCCCAAAAATAGGCTCACTATCATTATCATTGCAAATACAGTCATGATGAATTAACAAGAAAACTTGACAAGACTTCAAATATATCACCTTAAGTAAAATTGGTCGAAAAACTTTAGATTAAACTTTAAGGCAAGGTACCTAATCCAAAACCTTTTGAGTTAAATGTGATTAAAGCAGCTCAATCTTCAAATAGAAAGTCAAAAAAAATAATTGAAATAGAGAGGACAAGAAACGATTTGCTTAGAACTATAAATGACACCAGTGAATAAGAATTAACAGCTGACTTCAATAATTAAATAGTAGAAGAAGATAATTTCTCAAGGGAAAGCACAGATAGAAATTAAGCAATTCCGATCCCAACTGCAACTATTATGGGGGGTGAAAGAAGTGTAGATGAAATAACTATGAAATATGATAGTATTACTCCTGATATTGGAGTATAAAAGCATGATACTTAAGAATCTGAGAAAAAAATATAATAAGAAGACTAGGGTTTATAAGTATAAATGACAAACAGTGAGTATTACACTATATCCATAAATAGCACTAATCAAAAGAACAATTAAATCGGATTTCCATTTTAAATTCCAAAGAAAAAAGATTTGTACCAGAAATATCACGCTTAAGATTAATAAAGTTCTTCTAATACTAGTATTGGAGGTGTAGTAATGGGCTTAACATTGGCCCAAAGTCCATAAAGATATTCAAGAAGATAAATTCGTCATAATTCAGAAAAGTAGGAGAAAGATCTAGTTCATGTGATGAATGTTTAAAAAATTAGTCCTAAAAAAAACTCAATAAAAATCAATACATAGATGACAATGAAATCAAACTTTCTAACTCAAAACCTTAGAAAACCTCCTTTGCAACAAACGTTTTAGGATAAAGTTCTCAGAGACAACCCATCTTTTATAAGCAATAAAAAACTATAATAAAATAGTCAAGACCCTAAATCCAAGACTATGGAAATGAACAAAAATGCTGTTTAATCTGACTATTTCGCAAATATTATAAAAAACACCTAACTACCAAATTTAATCTAAGCTATGAATGTTAAAGGATCAAGACCAAATTCTAAATAGAATAGAGTAGCAGTAGATCAATATATTAAAAAGTATGAGAAAAGGCATAATAGTTACGATTAGTACTAGGCAAAAGACTTATTTCCATCTATAAACATGATCCATTCTTCAAGTTAGTATAAAATTGATCCAATAATTCGAGATGTTTCTGCTATGAAAGTCTCAAGAGGATTATCTCCTTATCATGAAAGTTAGTAGAGCTATCAAAGCTCTGAATTTGCACACTAAATAAACTAGATTAATTATATCACACCTTCATAAGATGATTTTACTAAGATAAACTCAATAAATGCTTTTGAACAAGCAGAAAACCAAAATAGAATTGAAATGGAGGCGAAGAATTCATTGGAAGAATAAGATGCATAATATAAAACCCTTCCAGATTCTCATTATACAGGCTTGTCCCAGTCATAATCATAAAAGATTCCAATTAATCTACTTACTACTGAAAATTTAATGCAAGTATTTGCTAAGAAATTGGTCAAACTTAATAGTTAGCAGTCAAAGAGTAAAACATAAAAACCAAAAGAGACATCATTTCAACAATATTTAAGATAGAAAAAAGACGTTAAAGTTCTGATGTGGCTTAACAAATAAATAAAATATAAAAGACCAACTCCTAATATATAAACATTTATTTGATATTGAAATTCATTGACTATTCACAAACGGACATTCCGTAAATATGATAACTGACTTTATGTTAGATTTTAATTATGTTAATCTTAATTTAATAAATTTTTACTAAAAAATTATTCAATCAACAACAGGAGTAGAGTTCATTTTCGCAAAGATTAAATCCTTGAATTTGTTTCAATTCAAAGGGCTCTTTTAATTCCCAATCAGTGCATTAATTACCATGGAAAAAGGTTGAAATTATATTTTGCTTAATCCCCTGATAAAATGGCAGAATGCCGATTGGGTAGAAACTTAAGTAAGAGATTGTCCCTCTCCTTGAATGCTCCCATGTAGTTTAGCCTGACATAATTAGATAGGTATGATAGAAAAAAAGTATTCCAGCAAAGAGGATAAAAGTGAAACTTAAAACTTGAAATACAGCCCAAATACTTCCAATATGATTTATTTTGTCTTTATCACCTTTTCCTGCTTCCTCTTTCATTGTATATCCGCTCATAGCAATATTAAAAGACATTGTGAAATGTATGGTCTAAAATAGTAGAAAAGCCCAAAATTTTCTATGATTAAGTTCACCTACGCACCCACCAATCCAAAAGCAATGATGGTCAAATTTTCTGACGCATCTTTCGCATTACTTGCAATGCTTAGTTCTATATGGTTACTCAAGATTGCAATAATCACAGAATTTCTTCTTAGGCATTTCAGTCCTTGCTATGTATTCAATTGACTTCACAGATTAATTAGAACTGTCCAGATTATTAGTATCTTTCTATATATCTGAAGATAAAGTATCATCAAAGCCAAGCTCCTCATCTTGTCTATATTTAGAGTTGCTTTAGCCATTAACATTTTAGCTTTATCTATTATTTGCTTCCTTTGCTTCCTCATCTGTTATAGCTAAAATCTTAAAGTCATCATATCCAACAAATAATTTAGCCTTTTCCTTCCTTGACATCTTTGTTTCAGTTTCATTTAGAAAGCCTGGATTTTTGTGAGAGAAAAGAAAGAGATATATGGAAATGAGATGAATTCCAAAAAATAGAGTTAGTTCGATTATATCAAAATTCAGAACTGCTTATTGCAAATCATTAGGGTAGATGGCACATGAAGCATAAAATAAAGTATAGCATATTAGATAGAAACCTCTAGCAGAGAATGCTGCTTATTACACATCTTATCTCTAAATGGATTAATTGTTCAATAATCTTACTCCCATTTTTCAAATAAGCTTCTATTTTAACTCTTAAATTCTAATTTCAATTAGAATTTCTTCATGGGGTTTTGGGGTTTTGGGGTTTTGGGG